ACACTTGGCTTTAGATTAAGAACAGTGTTGGCAAGAAATGGATCACTTACTGCACGGATTGCTCAGGAGGTGTAGGCTCAGTTGGAGTTGTCTTCTTCTTCTTGCTTTGGTTTGTTTCCCCGGTGAGGCCTTTCTTCTTCTTCTTCTTGGTGCTCTCTTCCGTTGTTTCTATGATCTCAACAACCTTTGGCTTATAAGTCGTTCTCTTCTTCTTTGGAGGTGCGGTGGTGGTGCATCGTGGTTCTGCAATAGTTTCATTGTAGGTTTTCTGCAGGTGTCCAAATCCACCACACCTTTTACACCTTCTCCTGCCCTTGCTGCTGGACCCACCTTCTTCAACTCCAACTATCCTTCTCTTCCTTGGCCTTCCTGCTGCTCTGTTGCATTTAGGAGGAAGGAGGTTGAAGCCAAGGTTTAGCTTTTTCCATTCATCCTTGCTTGGCATTGGAGGCACTGAAGTTGCATAGGCTGCTTTGAACATGTCTACAGAATAGTAGTGGTCAACATAGTCCTCTAAGTCTACCCTTCGGTGCCAATAAAAGCTAGGGCATGAACACATGGCGTATCAGCTTAACCGCCAACCCTCTACAGGTGCACTCTCTCTTGTCTAGATCAACAATGAACCTCCAAGGGACCAGGTCCTTGTTGACTCCTCCAACTTCACCAACCATTGGGCCACTCTTGTGAATGTTGTACTTTAGATTTCTGCTTTTGTTGTGCAGCTCCTTCATGACAGCTGGCAGAATCTTGAAGGCAGAAAACTTGGACAGCAGTTGCATCCTGGTGCAAAATCTCTCCATGATCAACTGCCTTATATTGTCCATTAGCTCTACAGCAGGTAATGACTTCTCTTCCCTGATCCAAATGTTGAAAGTCTCTGTTATGTTGTTTGTGACATAGTCACATTTGCTTGCTGTGCTAAACTTACACCTTGCCCATAGCTGCTTGTGATTGTCCTGCAGCCACCTAGTTGCCTTGGGGCATGCCTTGTGCATCTCATTCCAGTGCCTATCATGGGTTGTCTATCTATAGCACCTTGATGCAGGCCATAAGTTCCTCTCAAACACTTCTCCCCTAAACCTCTTCTGAAAATTATTGACTAAATGCCTCATGCATTCTCTGTGCTCCACCCCATTACTGAAAACTTTGGTAACAGCCTTGTCTATTCCTTTGCCTATAGTTAGTAAGCATGGAAACAATGTTAGGTGGGGAACATACAACACTCAATTGAAAAACAAGAGCACAATGAATGCAACATACCTGCATCAGTTGAAATAACAAGACCATTTAGGGAACCAATAGCCTTGTGCAGCATCTTCATGAACACTGCCAGGACTGCAACCTTGCAGGAAGCCATCTATGCATGGCTTCAGTGCTACAAACATCCTACTGAATCTTCTCTTCTCATCTACAATCTCCCACTTAATCTCTACAACACTGCCAGGACTCCTCTTCTCAATCTCCCTTTTCCAAGAAAACACATGTACAAAGCTATCTTCCTAGCCACCCATGATCTCATCTAAGGCCATTTGCTTGCCGTCCCAAACCACGTAGTAGCTCAGCTGTACACAAAAATTCTCCTCCAACTTCTGCTTCAAATCTTTAGCTCCAATAGTTGGATCTTCCCTAAGCCAGTTTATAACTCTGTCCTTCACCCAGTGATTGTTAGCCATATAGTTGTTCTAGAATTTGCTTGTACTGGCACAATTATGCTTGTGTGGTAGCTTCTTAATCTGCAGCCATCAACCAACGGTTAGCACACAACAATTGATAACTAAATTAAACTAAATGAAGCATTACAAAGCTCACATACCTGCCATGTCTTGCCATCAGGTAACTGAGATGCATAAATCCTCCACCGACATCTCTTGGCCTTACAATATGCTCGGTACCGCCGTGACGCACTATATGGAACTATAAGTTCAACTTTATTAAGCACAAAATATTGTCTAATACATCTCTTAAAGCAGAAACCATCTTCAAAAGTAACACCAAGACCTATCTTAAGCTTATCTAAGTCAATGACATGAACAACACTGTCACAGTCCCTCCCATCGTCCACAACTAATGGGTTATCATCTTCTGGGTCACTGTCAGGATAGTAAGCAGGGTCAGCATCACCATCATCATTGACCCCATCCTTGTACTTCTCATTCTCATCATCTACTCCTACATACTCCACTTCATCAGCCTCTCCCTAGTCATCTTCAGCAATATCTTCTTCTTCTTCAGCAATAGCATCATCATCTTCACCATCATTATCAAGATTAAGACCCTCATCACCATTAGCATCAGCCTCACAATTACCATCATTATTAAGATCAATAGCTTCACCATTGTCATCAGCTACTAGATTAGGCAGTACAAGTTCATCATGGAAGATCATAGCTATTGGCTGACAATTAACCTGACTCTCCCGAGTGATAATAACAGACTGAGAAGACTGAGAGGCATTGGCATTACAACACTTAGACTTTAGCAAATGAGGACCAGTGTCAACAACATGTACAGTCAGTGGCACCTTCCTACTGTCCCAATACACATCAAATGCATGTAACAGAGCAGAATCAGAATCTATGCGCACTGTCTCATCCTTGATTTTGTCAAAGAAGGTGACCTGCAGTTCTTGATCGACCCCATGGACTATCTCCTCACCAAGGCACCCAAGAAACCCCATACAAGAGAATTTATCCTTGTCCACCACACGCATGTAATTAGCAGTTACATGATAATCATCGAGCCCATCTGGTCTTTGCTCTACATATGCAGGTACGCTAATCGCCAGTCTACACGCGGAAGTCGGATCCATCCTAAATCAACACAAAGGATAACAACCAAACTAAACGATTTCAAAACCGCAAGCATTCTACCACATCCGTAGGCATTCATCTGCAAATAGTAGGGATTCAAAAGACTCACCCTTTCACTAGCCATTTGAATTGCGGAACCCTAGGCAGAGACCTAGGGCACTGCCTGTTCTTCGAGCTGTGGGACTTCATCTTCGGGGCGCGGGGGAACTCTAGATCCTCAACCCCCTATGGCAGATGACGGCCGAGGCTCGATCTATCATCGGCCGGAGCCATTGGGTGGACGGCAATGGCGCGACAAATGGAGAGACGAGTGGGTGGCGGCGCGATTGGGAGTGAGCTAATAGCGGATTGGGGAAATGGCGCTACCGAACCCTAACGGCGGAATCGGGTGCGGGCCGGCCATTATTAACCGGGTCGAACTGCACCAGGTTGGGGACGGCGCCTAAGTTCTGGTTCAGGGCACCCGATGTCCAAAACGAAGTTTTCTCTCTCCAAAACCGGGTGCAACTAGGTTGCGGTGCCCACTGGCAGTATTTCCAAAAACCAGAGTGTCTCACGGCAAAAGATGGAAACGCAGTGTCCGCCAGCAAAGACGCGTCATTTGGCATGTCCAATAGCAAAATTTGCCTTATAAAATGTAACAGTTTTACACCTTGTTTGTTTGGGCTTGTTCGGCTTATAAGCCGTACTTTTTCAGCCAATGAATAATATTTTTCTCTCACACCAAATCAGCCAATAGTACTTTCAACCATGGCTTATTAGCCAAACAAGTCCAAACGAACAGGGCGTTAGTTTTGCCTAACTCTAACTTCTCCAACTTTAACCAAGTTTATAGAAAAATACACCAACGTTCAACGTATATACCACCAAATTAGTTTAATTCAAATCAAAACTAAATATGTCTTGATGGCACAACTATTTATTACTATTGTATGTGTAATATATATTTTATAATTTTGGTAAAGGTTACTACGATTTGGCATAGGATAAAACTAACATAATCTAAATTTTGGAATGAATGAAGTAATAAAAGGTAATCAAGTTTGAAATGCCAAGTAATGCTTGTATGACTTCATTGCTGTGGCAACTTTTCTGCGTGTTTGAGTCCCTTAATCTCTTCCTGTTCCTTTGCCCGACTAGGAAATTGAAAAGGGTTTTGGTTGGGTTTCATGCTTCCTTGATTTCTATACTAACAAGGATTTTCTTCGCAAATTCAGACCAGTTAGAATCACTCTCCGTCATTAGCAAGGCTACTTTCCCGAGAGAGGTGAGCTGCATATAGATGGACCCTTGCTCTCTCTTTCTCCTTGATATATTGGTGAAACACTTAGTCGAAATCTACAGGAACGGAGAAAAAAATTTAGAACTAATGACTCTTGTTTAGTTGCACGAAGAGATATATGACAGTGCAAAAAAAAATATGACAACTTAGCAGAGCACTAATAAATTCATCTATCCAACGGAGTCTATTGTACGTCTTATGGAGGAAAAAAACACCTTCAATCATCTATTATGTGGAAATCGACTACCCGTGGTTTTGACATTTCTAGGTACACAACTTTATTTTATATCTAGATATGTCGTATATTGAGATAAATAATAAAAAACTATTTACCGAAAAAAGTCAAAACCACCAATAATTTAGAAGAGGGCAGTACTCTTTAATAATACCAGATAAATAAAGAAAAAAAACATTGTACCATGCAAAAAATCTAGTGCCATGTGTTTAGATAAATCCGTGCAACTTATCGCGTGGATCGTGCTGTTCCGACGGCATGTGAACCCTTTGCATGCAATGCAACACACAACCCACCCCAAAGCCAAGTAGCCAACCAGCGGTACGGCGAGGCCGCCGCGAGACGCGCCCCTGACCGACCGAGTTGGAAAGGAAGGAGAAGAGTACCCGACCCAACCCATCCAGCCTCCGGCTGCCGCCGCGCCAGGCTGGGGCTCATACCACACCGCGACCACTGCGTCCAGCGTATATATAAGCCAGGACGCCCTGCTCCGCCGCCTCGCCTTCTCCTTCTCCTCCTCCGCCGCTCCACCTCCAGTGCGCGGAATCCCGCGACGCGTCGCGTCGCGTCGCGCCGGAGTTGTAGCTGGGTTGCATGATCCACCACAGCAATCTTCTCCCCCTCGTCTAAACCCTCGCGCCCAGCCCTGAGCTCAAAACCCCTTAGCCCGTCGATGGCGGACGCGGACGCCGCCGAGACCGTCGGCGCCGCGTATATGCCGGTCGCGCCGCCGCTGGTTTCGCCGGACGCCGCAGTGCCTCCGCCGATGGAGGCAGAGACCATCGACACCCTGCCGCCTGTGGCCGCTGACGCCATGGAGGCCGCCGTCGCGGCTATGTCGGTCGCTCTGCTTCCTCCACCGCCGGAGCAAATGGTAGCGACTCCTGAACCTTTCTCCTCTAACTCCGTGAGGAGCCCTCCGATCAAGGGCTTATGCTTAGATTTCTTTTGTGCGATCGCTGGGGTTTTGGGGCTCTTTCGCTGTGTGTTTTGCGAGTGCCTAGCTTCACCGTTGCAAGTTCGGTTCTATTAATTGCCCTGCACCTTTCCTATTGGGGGTTTATCACTGGCATTTGATCGAGGATTGGCTGTGTTCTAGCAAGGAGGCAAACCTGGTTAGTTTTTGAAATTGTTTAGAGATTCGCGTTGCCTTGCTGCAATTATTCCAAGTGTGTCAAGCGAGTTCCGTTTCAATTGCTTTTATTGTTTGTATACTATGTCAGTTTCCCCTGGATTTCGTAGATCGTTATATGCCACAACCAAGGTTTGTTAGGGTCAGAACCCTCTAATAAAGTGGTCTGTGTCATAATTTGTTAAAAAATCTTGAGTATGGTGGTTTGCTTTGGGCATCCGAATTTGACAACTTGTTAGAGCCAACGATCTTGCACTGCGCAGAAAACTATATAGACAATTATGCAGGTTGTCCTGTTATTGCTTCACCATGTATTGCTGTCCAGTTCTTCGATCTCACCTTACCGTTCATTGTAGAGTCAGTCTGTGATGGGTGGTGGAGAGGACTCAGAGGAGGAGTGTTCGCAAGGTGAAATCCATGAGGTATGACTCAATTACCCAATGTGTTGAATGTAATTGATCAATTACACCTCCTCATGTTCCTCATTCTGTTAGATCATGGCTGAATTTGATTGATTGAAATAGTCCTTTACTTTTTGTAGGCTGTTGAAAGCATTGAGGTTCTGCTATCTTCTCTTGCTGATAATCAGAAGCCCTGTGACATGGTAAATAGTCCTTAATGGTTTCTAACTCTACAATATAGGTGATCGATGGTCTAGTTATCAACGAATTTCTCCAATTTTGTTGTGTAGATGGGCTATATCACAGAGAGGAATGAATGTGAACAGGACAGAGAATCTCTTCCAGAGGTATAGCTATTTCTGTGTGCATCAGCGACCTCTTTACTTGCTTATTTTTTGCTGCTAGACTTGATCAAAATCGTATTTTTTAGCTGCTAGACATAGATGGTGGGGAAAACTTGGAAGTTCCATCTATTTCCTCTTCTATTGATCAGGAATCCTATCTTCTATACCTCCCTTTGATTTATATGGTTATATACTCTTGAAGTCCAATGTCATTATGAAAGCTTTATATTCTATAGAAGTTACTAACTTCTCTTTGTACTAGCTACCTCCATCCTAAGAAGGATGCAATTCTACTTCTATCCTTAGTCAAATTATTTAAAGTTTTTTCCTTCAAAAAAATTATCTAAAGTTCGACTAAATTTGTAGGAAAGAGTATTCATATTTATGGCACAATATAGTTATACTATGAAAATATATTCCATGACAAATATAATACTAAATCTGTTCCAAATTATAACACATTTTGGCTTTTCTAGATACGTTGTTTTTACAATGTATCTAGACATAGTGTATATCTATGTGCATAGCAAATGAAACATATCTAGAAAAGTCAAAGCGTCTTATAATTTGGAATGGAGGGAGTAACACCTAATTGGTATCATAAATATCAATATATTTTTGTATAAACTTGGTCAAACTCAAAATTGCTCAGTATTATGCTAGAATTGCAATCTTTTCAGGATGGAGGGAGTATATCTATATGGTGAGAAATCCCTAGTTGATGATATAGTCAATATGATGGTTAAATGTATAAATTTAATCCTACTTTTTTGTTTGAATGTTGTTGGATTAAAATGTAGTTTCTTTATCTGGAGGTCCGACCAGCTGTTGCCATTCCTTCCTATGTTTTGTTTGTGACAGAACAGTGATTGTGGTGATAGTCTTAGCTGAAATGATTATTGTATCTTTGAATGGGAAATGATGATTTTATTTTTTTTATTGACATTTCTATTGATATGTAAAATTGATTGTGCTATGGATGATGAGCATTTATATGAGGAAATGTTTTTTTTGGTGGGCCATGAATTCGGAATTTTGAATTCCATGCCTATTTCTGTAGTATTTTGCTTGATTATTTAGTTTCTCAATAGGTCAAATGAAACTGATCATGACCATTGTTAGTGGTGCTGCCTTCTAGTGATAGTGAATCCTATCATACAATAACTTTTCTCAAGCTTATTTCTTGGTATATACAAGTTCTTGTTTTCCAGGTTACTTCTGATTTTGTCACCATTTTCATTATTTACTTTCAGAAGCTGCCTGAGGTGACCGTTCAGGCTTTGGGGCATTTACTAGAAGAGGAGCAGCCAGCCATGGTACAACAGACTATAATATATCATCCCTTCTATCACAACTGTAACCATGTACTTCTGACTCATCTAGTCATCTTTGATTTTGATAACCTTTTTTACTCCGTGTTCTTCTGTTTTCTTTGACCCCATTACCTAGGCTATTTCTGATAACATCAAGGAAAGTGACAAACAAATACCACCTCCACCACCATGTCCTTCAGAAGAACAGCAAAAACCTAAGGTGACAATTATTTCAGCAAGACTTGTTTCTCAAAATATGATAGCGTCTCCTTCCAATCGAATCACATTTACTCCTATATTTTTGGTTCTCAGTTGGGCTGTGCTAGAAATGAAGATACCTTGATATGTTTCAGTTCAGTATTCTACTTGTGCTGCCTAAATATCTTTCACGCAAATGAGCAATGCATTGGTCACAACCCTGCAGTGGAGGAGGGAAGGGGTATCTAGAAAAGCCAAAACGTCTTATACTTTGGGATGGAGGGAGTAGTATAATTAGCTAGTTAATGATGCTATTTGTGTTTTGATTCCTTATCCTTCCTCCCAGTGGTGAAGCTTGACCATAGTAGGGGGGCCAGTCTATATAATTGAATATTAAACACTAATGAACAGTACAAAAATCACTGTTTAGACAATAGAGTGAGCAGGGGTGCCCATGGCCCAGCTTGGTCACTAAGCTCCGCCCCTGCTTCCTCCATATTAATCTCTAATAGCATCTTATATAATTAATATTTAGGTCTTTCTATGATTTTCTCCATCACTTTTGTTTTTTTTATTATTGCCTACTAAAAATATAGTTTGTTCCCACAGTGTTCCCTCTAATTAGCTAGTTAATTGTAATTAGTGCTTTGCTTGTTTGCTCTCTCTGAATCAATCTCCAATGGCATCTACTTCCTCCATGCCAAATTATAAGACTTTTTGGATTTTCTGGATACATAACTTTTACTATTTTTTTTTCTCGAAAACGCATGAGAGCTGAGCATCATTAAATTAAGAAGATAATAAAATAGGATAAAAACCCATACAACACAACACACACAAAACCACACACACACTCCGATGCTGCTGTTGATGCTAGGAAACTAACGCGCCCATGACATAAAGATCACGACCAAAGTGGATAGGGCGCTAACCACCCAGAGCGAGGGCATCCAAGAAGGATAATCCTCGAGCCCCCGCCAAAGACCACAACCTTTTTTCATCTTCAGCTACAGCAAGTGCGCCTGCAACACTTGGGGCTGCGCCATCAAAAACACATTTGTTGCGGTGTGTCCATAAGGTCCATGCTCCTAGGATTATGAGAGTTGGTTCCTTTCCTTAACATGTCACTGTTAGCCCACAGGATCACTGGCTCAGGTGAGTCGACCACTCACCAGTCTTGCTGACCACGGCCGAGCACGACAGAGGCTGTCCGACCACACACATTATGGCTAGAGGTAGAAGAAGAGGGAAAACAAAGCATACACACACAGTACAAGCACCAGCGTTGGCCGGAGCTCTGTATAGGAGATGGCAAAACTAAACTCTGTTTACTGAGTTGCAGTGGTAAACTATTTATACAACTCTATCGTATCTAGTCCTAGTACAGCTGCCATGCTGCTACAGTTACTAGATAACATAGCAGGACAGACTTCTGCGCCTGTCCCTGTATGTGGCTACAGTGCGACAGGTGAGCCTTTCAGCCCCCGCCTCTACAATGGCTACAGTACCACAACAGGGGGGCCAGTTCGGCGCCGCCTTCCCTTGCTGTGTGTTCACACAGGGAAGCAGTAGATTATCTAATAATTCTTCTTCTAATCCTACTGCTATCCCTTGTACCCCTCCATGCGATCATCTCCTTCAGCTCCGTGAGTCACGTCCGCGAGTTGCCGACCAGTTTCGACGAACTCGATGACGATTTTCTGTTCATTGACAGTCCCTGAGGAAGTGGAACTTCATGTCGATGTGCTTGCTCTGGTTGTGTTGAACCAGATTCTTCGCGAGGGCGATGGCGGACTGGTTGTACACCATCAGTGCTGGTGGGTGAGCTTCCGCACCGGTCAGCTCGCCCAGCAGCCGGCGTAGCCACACAACTTGACACGTCACTATGGCCGCCGCTACGTACTCTACCTCGCACGTAGATAGCGCCACCACCTTTTGTTTCAGCGACAACCATGAAATTGGAGCCGACCCGAGGAAGACGAGCACGCCAGAGGTGCTCCATCGTCCGTCGATGTCCCCCCGCCATGTCTGCATCGCTGAACACAGTGAGCTACAGCCTAGTCCTGCCGGTTCTAGGAAAAATGATCCCTTGATCCATCGTCCCCTTGACGTAGCATAGTAGCCGCTTTCATCGTAGCCCAGTGATCCTCTCTGGGATCCTTCATGAAGTGACTGATGTAGCCCATGGCGAACACAAATGTCCGGCCTCGTGTGGACTAGGTAGCACAGACCGCCGACGATGCTCCGGTAAAGTGTTGCATCCACCTTCGCCGCGGTGCTGGCCTTCGTCAGCTTCAGCCGCTCCTCCATCGGAGTCACGCATGGCTTGCATTCAGCCATGCTGCTCCGCTCCAACAGCTTTGAGGCATACGCGCTCTGACCGAGCGTGAGTCCTCCTTCCCTTGTCTCACCTCGATGTCAAGGTAGTAGGAGATTGCGCCGAGATCACTCATTCGAAAACGAGCCGCCATCTCTCACTTGAAGCTGTTGATGTCCTCCGTGCGCGCGCCAGTGACAATCAAGTCGTCCACGTACACGCCGACGATGAGCTCCTCCTTCCCCGTCGCCGCGTGTAGAGCGCGTGCTCGGTTGCGCACCGTTGGAACCCAAGCTCGCCCAGCGTGGCATCAAGCTTGGCGTTCCACGCTCGTGGGGCCTGCCGCTGCCCGTAGAGTGCCTTGCGCAGTCGGAGCAACCTGTGCTCCGCTCCCTTAACGGCGAAACATGGAGGTTGCCTGGCGAACATCGTCTCCGCCAGCTTGCCGTTGAAGAAGGCCGATTTAACGTCCAAGTGATGGACGCGCCAGTCCTTTGCTGCTGCCAAGGCTAGTAGCAAACAGACAGACTCCATGCGCGCTACTTGCGCAAAGACTTTCTCGAAGTCTATGCCCTCGCGCTGAACAAAGCCTCGGGTGACGAGGCGCGCCTTGTGCTTGACAATGACGCCGAGCTCGTCCCACTTGACCTTGTACACCCACTTCAGGCTGATCGGACGGCATCCTGGCGGTGGATCGACTAGCTGCCATGTCTCGTTTTCCTCGATCGCCTTCATCTCCTCCAGCATCGCCCGTCGCCAGTTTCCATCGCGCTCGGCCAACGCGAACGTGGGTGGTTCCTCTGCGCTGACGAGCAATAGCTCTTGATCATTGAGCAGCCTACCAGCCAGGCCTGAGGGCCCTGTGCCACCAACGATGTCGTCCAGCCTGTGAAACCGCACCTCCTCACCTTCGTGGAAGGCATCCACGAACTCAGTGATGTCACTTGGAGGTGAGGCGAACTCGATCAGTGTTGATGGAGTTCCTTGTTCCGCTTGAGTGCTCGGCATCCCTCCCGAAATGCTCAGCACTGCTTCTGGACAGCTCGTCACTACTCCTGCAGTGCTCGACACCACTGTAGGAGTGCTTAGCCTCAGTCTTGGAGTGGTCGGCACCACTGCAAGACCTCTTGGCTCCGCTACGGGAGTGTGCTCGGCACCCGTCCTGGAGTGGTCGCCACCACTGCAGAACCTCCCGGCACCACTCCTGGCGTGCTCGGCATCCCTCCAGGAGTGCTCGGCATCCCTCCAGAAGTGCTCGGCACTGCCCCAGGAGTGCTTGGCACCCCTTTCGGAGTGCTCCACACCTCTTCCCCAGCGTCTCCACCACCGTGGATGACTAGGTGCTCGACGACGAAGGTGTTGGTGAAGCCGCCAGCTTCCCCCGTGCTCGGACTGTTCCAATCCCAAGTCGCCTTCTTATCGAACACGACGTCACGCGAGACAAGCACCTTGTCTCCGCGTGGGTCGTAGAGCTGGTACGCCTTGGTACCCTCCATGTAGCCCAGGAACACCATCGGTGTGCTCCTGTCCTCCAGCTTGGTGAGGATCGGCTTCGCCTTCCTAACGTTGCCAATGCAGCCGAATGTCCGGAGGAAGGACACGCTCGGCTTTCATCCATACCAAGCCTCGAACGGCGTCTTGCCCTTAAGGGCCTTGGTGGGAGCGCGGTTGAGGATGAACACCGTCGTGGTCACCGCCTCACCCCAGAACCTTGCCGCATGCTTTTGGCCTTCATCATGGATCGAGCCATGCCGACCACCGTCTGGTTTCGCCTCTCCACCATGCCATTCTGTTGTGGCGAGTACGGCGCGGTGTGGTGTCGTACCACACCCTGATCCGGGCAGTACGCAGCGAACTCCATCGAAGTGAATTCACCGCCGCAATCAGTCCTCAGCACGTGGAGCTTCTTGCCGCTCTCGGCCTCCGTGCGCATCTTGAATTTCTTGATCGCCGCCACCGCTTCGTCCTTGCTCGTCAGGAGTTGCAGCCACATGTAGCGACTGCAATCATCCACGAGTAGGAGGAAGTACCGCCGACCACCGTTTGTAGCTGGCGTGATCGGCCCGCCGAGGTCACCGTGGACGAGCTCGAGAGCGTCCTTCGCTTGATACTTGGCCGCCTTTGGGAACGGTAGCCTCCTCTCCTTCCCTGCCAGGCAGCTGTCACACAGCTCACCTCCGTGCTTGATGTGGGGTAGCCCTCGGACCATCTTCTCCAGCCGACCAAGCGCGTCGAAGCTAAGATGTCCGAACCGGGCATGCCACAGCCACGGTTCCTCAGTGTGCCTTGCCGCTAGGCACACTGGCTGCTCTACCTTCAGGTCGAGCAGGTACAACCGGTTCAGGGACCTCTTCGCCTTGGCGAGAAATCGTTGCTCCCGGTCCCTGATCCTAAGGACTCCGTCCTTGATCAGTACCTCGCTACCGCGCTCATCCAGCTGACCAATGCTGATGATGCTGGAACACAGCTGCGAGATGTAATATACATCCGTTAGCGCGCGGTGCTCCTCGTTCTGGCACCTAAAGATGATGGTGCCGCGCCCTTGGATAGCCACCCTTGAGCCGTCACCAAACTTCACCGTACCGGTAACATCGTCGTCGAGCTCGGAGAAGGATGCTTTGGAGCCCGTCATGTGGTTACTGGCACCAGAGTCCAGATACCACCGCTGCTCCTGGTCGGTGCCCACACGTCCGAGGTGGACTTGGGCGCGCAGTTCGTCGAGGTTGACAGCCTCCAGGGCCTTCCCAGGTCCTTCCACTGTCGTCGCCTCTTCCTTCTCCTCGGCCTCGACGTCGTGCAGTGCACAGAACGTCGCCATCAGGATAGTGGTCTCATCATCATCAGCAGCTTGCGCTAGATGAGCCTTAGCCTTCTTCTCCTGCTTGCGATTTGGGCACTCCCGTGCCCAATGGCCCGTCTTCCCGCAGCGCCTGCAGGCGTTGGGGTCGACTTGCTTCTTCTTCTCCGAAGAAGCCTTGCCGCGGCGCTTGCCATCGCCACCACGGCTGGAGGAGGCTGCCTTCCCGGAGTTCCTCCGAGCAGCCCACTCCTCTTCTGTCAGCAGTAGTTTGCCGCTGTCTTTCGTTGCTGTCGCCTACTCCAGGCGATCGTCCACCGCCCACAGATGGCCTGTCACATCCTCAACGGTGAGGATGGACAAGTCCAGCATCGTCTCTATGGAGAGAGCGATCTGGATGTACTTTGCCGGCACGGAGTGGAGGTACTTGGAGACCGCCTCCTCTTCATCGATGGTGACGCCGTGGCTCTTCAGCTTGCTGATGAGCGTCTGCAGGCGGAGGGAGAAATCCTCCACCGTTTCACCATCCTTGAACTTGAGGTTGGCGTACTCCTGCTTCAGAAGCTGGGTTGTCGCCTTCTTTGCGTGGTCGGAACCGACGCGCATCGCCGCAATAGCCTCCCACGCCTCCTTAGCAGAGCTCTTCGCGCCCAACGGCTCCCTATACTCCGCCGATACAGTAGCGAGGATAGCCTCCAATGCTGACATGTCATCTTCCTCATTGTTGGTGTCCTTGTCAACAGCATTCCAGAGCCGTCGGACTCTAAGCTTGACTTTCATGGTCACCGACCACTCTCCATAGTTGGTGCGAGTCAGCGTCGGCCAACTGGTGCCGCTGACCTCCCGCACCGTGCGAACAACGACCTCCGGTGGTGGCTGGGTAGCCACAGCAGTGCCACTGCTGTCGCCCATTTCCGAACCATTCATCATCGTCAGCGGTTAGTCCGGCGACGACGCTTGTACGGTTCTAATACCACTTGTTAGCCCACAGGATCACCGGCTCAGGTGAGTCGACCACTCACCAGTCTTGCCGACTACGGCCGAGCACGACAGAGGCTGTCCGACCACACACACTATGGCTAGAGGTAGAAGAAGAAGGAGAACAGAGCATACACACACAGTACAAGTACCAGCGTTGGCCGGAGCCCTATATAGGAGATGGCAAAACTGAACTCTCTTTACTGAGTTGCAGTGGCAAACTATTTATATAACTCTATCATATCTAGTCATAGTACACAATTTGTCATATTGCCATGATTACTATATAACACAACAAGATCGACTTCTGCTACTGTCCCTCAGATGTGGCTACTGATCAGGGCGGGAGTGAGCCGTTCAAGGTCTCTGCCGCCTCTACAACTCTGCTACAAAGATTACAAAGAGGGGGGCGATTCGACGCCGCCTTCCCTTGCTGTGTGTTCATACAAGGAAACAGTAGATTATCTAGCAGTCACTAGCAGCATTGCTCACTTTCTCCCACCAAAAATGGAAGGATGTTTTTGTGGGTTGCGGGGAAAGGCTTGGAGTCCAATCCGAGAAAAGAAACGGAACCAAAACTCTCTTGTAAAGACACGCTGTACTAAGAGGTGATCAATAGTTTCCGCCTGGTCATACAAAGGACAGTGCTCAGGATGAGGGAGCCCACGGCGTGCAAGGCGATCCACTGTCCAACATCGGTTGTGAGCTACCAACCAAACAAAGAAGGGATTTTTTGTGGGGTCCACATATGATGGGCAACACATTGCTCTTTTGTAAGTTTGTCTTGAGCCCCATTGCTTCTCCAAACAAATTGAGGATACCCATGCACTTAGAAAAGCCAAAACATCTTATAATTTGGAACGGAAGAAGTATATTATTTAGGATTAGTCTTTCTGTTATCTTCCTTATCTCCTTTGTTCCTGTTATTACCGTGATTCTTTTTTCTGGACTAAGAATTAGATTGATCGGGTGAAGGTTAGGGCTAATTAATTTTGTTCCCCCCTTTTCTCTTTAATATTTAGTGTTCTTTTTTAGTTTTCAGCTTTTTCTTGTATTGTATCATAAAAGTTTATCTGGTCATTATCTATCCTCTTGCCATGTGCGTATTTCATCATGCATGATTGTTGTCGGTTTGAATGCCCTCCCCCTCCCCCAACCCCCATATCCAAATCCTGGCTCCGCCCTTACTAGGTGCTTTCATGGTCTGACTTGATGCACTACCTTTGGTACCTTCGTTTATGTTTTTTGTTTAAAAGTGTGCTGTTGGGTGTTACCGATGCTATTTTAATTACCAAATCAGGATTTTGCTATTTGTTTAATTTCCTTACCAACTGTACTTCCATCATGTCGGCCCTGTTATTTGCTCCCGTGTAGTCATTAAAAAAACTAGAGCTTCTGATTACTATTGTTAGCTATCCCAAAATGACTAATTACTTTACAAAAAGGGGGTCGCGTCAGCCTTGTCATTCCTGTTTACATATGGAAGAACCATCCACTGAGAGGATCTTTTTCTTGCAAATTGCAATGATCAGATTTGCTCTGCAGTGCATACTTGTTCTTCACTTTTCTAGGAGAGTGACATATACACACTTGCATGGACAAACAAATATCATTTATATGGTGTTATATTCTGTTCCATTTGTTTACAGGACAATGGTTATCTTTCAGACGATCCCCCTAACTCTAGTGACCAAAGTGATCATAGTGATGGTGAACATCATTACGACATTCCAATATATAATCCATACAAGAATGACCTGTTTCGATTTATGCATGGAAGAGAGAGAAGAAATTGTGGATATTCATGTAGTTGCAATGCCAGAAGAAACCACAGGAATGATGACTATCCATTTATGTATGGCTTTAGAAACCTGTGGAATCCCATGGTGAGTTTGTAAGCCATCTACTATTTTAACTATTCTGTACAAGTCATTCTTTTAGCATCTCAGAATAAATTGTAGTTTCGATTTGTCATTTAAACCTTCTTCATGTATATTTGCAGTCTTCCTATTTCAGATTAGACACTGCAAATTTCATTGTTTATATTTTTGGTATTTTGATATCCTAGTCATTCTTTCCCATTTGGATTGTTTGATTTACACATCTTCATCTCTTCCTTCTGAGGTTTTGCCATAGACTTCTCTCCATATTGATGATCATTGTTGTTCCAAAAAAAATACTGATGATAACTGGAGTCGTTGGCCCTCTCCTGAACCTGACCAGAGAAAGGAAAGATACAATTCAGTAAGCTGGGCTTGTGTTGCACTTTCATGCATTATAATTTTTCCTGTCTTGATACTGAGCATTGCAAATTTCATTATTTATTTTTGATCCTTTGACATCCTAGTAGTTTCTTTCCATGTTATATATCTGTTGTTGACATCTTCCATTTTTGTTATGTACTAGAGGAGTTGTTGGTCTTGGCCCTCTCCAGAACCAGACTGTGAGAAAAGCTACACTGTGGTAAGCTAGACTTCTGCTGCTGTTTTATGGCTACTGCAGTTCTATTCCACTTGAAATCAAGATAAGTTATGAACTGAATTGTGTTTTTGCACAGGGTGCTGGGCTAACCAATCCTCATTTGTGGACATGTTTTCTTAATTGCGTACTCCAATGTATGGTTCACACTGTTCCTCTTGTATTGAAGCTTTGGAAAGCTGATCATCCAGATCCATGCCCTCGTAAGGATTCTAGTTCAGTCATCATGAGATTGTTGAGCATCTTGTCTCCATTCTTACGTGTTATGTGATTTAATATGGGATTCTGTAGGTGCTTCTATTGGATTCTGTTGTTACTGCTCCCTAAAACAGCATGTCAATGAATCTATCAGGCTCTCTGGAAGTTCTTTCTACCCTGAGATTTTCATTAATCGCCTGAAATGTACGCTTTTTGAACCAACCTTTCTAGCCGCTCCAACCAACCTCTTTGCCCTTTCCTTTGCAGTATTTTCCCTTGTAGTTGTTTAGTCTTGTGGAAATTTGAGACTTTTGGAACTACTTGAAACACATGATTCAACTGTACTTTAATGGGATGATGATAGTTTGAACTGAATATATTTCTTCACGTGTGATTGGCAGCAATTTCGTCAGATTTTAAGAGTGGAGTACAACAAGATGCGCAGGAGTTCCTCCGCTGTTTGCTTGATAAATCGGATGAGGACTCCATTGCTCCCAGGTCCTCTGAAGAATCCTCCTCCTCTGAAGAATCCTCTTCGACTGAAGAAGGTAGTGTGGTAAAAGAAATATTCAGAGGGTGCTTGAAAAGCCAGGTGTGTTCTGTTGATCCTGACGATCTCAAATGCTTTGTTATTTAATGATTATATATTTATATACTTACTTTTCCCTACTTTTACTTAGTTGCGATGTCCAGAGTGCGACTGTTGCTCAGATAAATCTGAGCCTTTTCTCGATCTAAGCTTGGATTTGAACATGGTGGAGACTCTAATGGATGCCTTTGCAATCCTTTACAAATACTGAGTTAATCAAAGACTTCATGTGTGATGGATGCAAAACTCGTGTGAGCATGGAAAAACACTTCAAGATAGAGCAGGCGCCTGAAGTGCTTGTAATCCATCTCAAGCGATTCACTAATTCTGAGTCTAAGATTTGGGACAAGGTCAAGTATCCGTTGGAGCTGGATATAAACTCCTTCATGAGTTCTTCGGATGATGTGAGCTGCAGTTTCTTATAATTTTATTTTAGCCCCCAGCCATTATTTGGCTCACGTCCAGCTGTGTTGCAGACACTGCAGAAGTATGATTTGTATGGAGTTGTAGAACACCTCGGTGCATATGGCAGTGGTCACTATGTTTGTTATATCCGGTCATCTGAAGCTGATTGGTACAAATTTAACGATGACAAGGCAAGAGAATTTACCTCCTGTCAGTAAAATATTATTTTGTTCTCTAAGCTATCGTTCAGTTGCATGGTTATAACCATTCAGTTGTGCAGGTCTATAAATGTTCCGTGGCTAGCGCTTTGGAAAACGCAGCATATCTTCTTTTCTATGTGAAGCAAGGTTCATCCCCGTGGTTCTCTACCTTACTTGAGAAAGAAGACAAGTGTCCACTGGATGGTTCAGTTAGCTTGGAAGAACAAGGCGAAATTGCTCTCGTCAACAAAGAAGAGGAGGCGGCATCTTGTCATGGGCAAGGAAATGGACCTACTCTCGTCGACAAAGAAGAGGAGGCGACATCTTCTCATGGGCAAGGAAATGGACCTACGTTGCCAGACCTATCTGAACAGTTACAAAGGAATGGAAATGGCAATACCTTGTCGGATGCATCAGATAAACTGGAAGAAGGTTGCAGGCTGGGTGAAACATCAACAGGAACACAAGGACCTAGCTGTCTTATTGGATCAGGCGACAAGAATGGCCATGCCGATGGGTGTTGGGAGCCATCAGGTAAGATGAAAGATGTCAGGCCAAGGGGATCACTGAGCAGGAAGGAAATGAAGCCAAGCACATGTGGATCTTTAGAAGTTGATCATGCAGTTACACATGGAGGCTCTCCTCTAAAGAATGAGAATAATTGCCACTTGCTCCAACTTTCACATAAATGCAAAGACAACTGTGACTCTTTAGAAGTTGATCATGCAGTTACACAGGGAGGCTCTCCTCGAAAGAATGAGAACCATTGCCATTTACTCCAACTTCCACATAAACGCAAAGACAACTGTTGTCACAGGAATCTCTCCTTGCAAGGTAAGGATGACCTCATTCCTATGTTAACGGAAATCAATTGATAGTTCTTGTAATACGAAGTGTGCTCAGTGCTAGATTTGATTGTTACTCCCTCCATTCCAAATTACAAGACGTTTTGTCTTTTCTAGATACATTGCTTTTACTATGCATCGAGACATATTGTATATCTAAGTGCATAGCAAAAACTTTGTACTTAAAAGCCAAAACGTCTTATGATTTGGAATCGAGGGAGTACTTTGTAGAGATAAGATGAGTTATAGTAGACTTAACTTTTCTTATCTTGCTTTTTCTAGTAGATGAAATTGGGGGTTGTTGTGGAGCACCATCTATGGGGATGTGCACTTCAGGCAAAGAGAACGAAAGAGTAGAGTCCATGTTCAACAATGAGTTGAGAAACGACACTAAGGCACTATAAAGGGCGTGCAAACAGCTCTAGCTGAGTCCAATCGTCGCATAGACTAGGAGCATGGAAATACCCCAGTGCATTTTGGAATTCAGCCACTCACTATTTTTTTAGCGCAACTCTATATATTTGTACCCTGGCTGTTGCTCACTCTTGAAACCTTGCGCCCTGGATGTTCTAAAAACACAGAATAGAAAGAAAGCACCATGTGTAAAACAGCATTGCTGCTATCAATTTGCCATGCAACAAGATATGCTTGACATGCCTGTGTATTTTATAAATTATCTTTCTCGTGCCTTCAAGTTTAATATGACTAACAGATACACCTTTTGTGTACACAAAGACCTTTTTTTTCCCTCGTGAAACACGTAAACCTTTTTTCTTTCACTTGCTTGACAAATGTTATTCATGCACCTTTGCTTCACACAGGTGGTGGGGAAGAAGGCAGAGGAGGAGGGCGTGAGAGTAAGAAGTGGAAGTCTGCCGGTGGTGGTGAGAGTAAGAAGTGGAAGTCTGCTGATGGTGGTGAGTCCAAGGCATTAAGGAAGCGCAGGAAGACGAAGCACCGCACCGCAGCAAGGCAGTTCGCTTTCTGTAGGTGGAGAGGTACAGTAGGGAAATCGAAGACGAGGCTAAGGTGACGACAGATGGAGAGTTGGCGACTGACCAGCAACCACGACGTATATAGGTAGAAGAACCGGTGGGGCTTATACCATAGTATAGAACAATAAGATGGTGTGTTTGGTTTGAGGAATGAGTTAGTTCATCTACTCATTTCTCACTTTTTTGTTTGGTCTGTGGAATGAAATAAGTTGATGTTGATGTATCATCACATCATTTCTCCAATCTAATAACTAGTACGAGGAATGAAGTCATTCCACCAAATAGATTCACGATAGACCACCTCATCTAGAATGGAGTAATTCCTTAAACCAAACACACCATATATGTAGTCTTTTGCTTCCACGGCATTAGTTGTGCGTACTCCCTCTCATAATACTTGACCTTCTAGCTTTCTAAACTTATTCAACTCCATGTTTGCAAGAACCATTGTTGCTAGGGGCTTGTAATCTTGCGAGATCATACCAACTATATTTGTGGTATGGCCGCCTAGCCTATAATGGAGGGAACGAAGCCCATGGCGTTTGAACTGATGAAAGCGATAGTGAAGACGTCTGAGAGAGGTCATCTTAGAGACCCACTTGCATGTGGGTAAGGGCTGTGGGCATCCACATAGTTATTTGACCGAGAGCTTAGTCCTAGTGAAGGGCTTTAACTAGGACTAGAGGGAAGTGACAAGTGAGGAGCTCCCCGATATCTCGGGAAAAAATCGACAGTCAACGGGAGTTTGCATTCTCTATCTTAGTTAAGCTTTCGTATTACTTGCATTATTTGGTTGTGTGATTTCCCTTTCTAGTCTAGCTTGCTAGGTTAGTTGATATAATTGGGATGTAGGGTGGAAAACTCTCTTATGGTAGAGATAGTAAACACTTAGAAAACCCGTAGTGGACATCTGGATAGATATCCTTTATAGGTTTTGAGAAATAGTTTTTAGTTGGCCATGTAGTTTTTAGTTGCCTAATTGAGCTCCTCCCCCTCTTATACGTCACCATCCCTTCACTTAGGGCATGTTTGTTTCCCTGGACATTCCTAGCTTGGTCGGATGAGGAGGACTAGGGTACCAGAAGACAGGCCCACCAGGTGCAACACCTGCTTGTTTGGTTCTATTTCTCTGCAGAGCCAGGCTGGGTAGGGATTCTGTTTGTTTGGCTGCACAATTAGATGTGGTCACTCCGAAGGAGCATTTGGTAGAGTTACCACCGAGCTGTTTCCTTTCTTCTTTCAGACATTTTTACGAATAGTTTGAACGCACACCATTCCATGTGAAAGGACCGAGGATGCTGCCTAGAGAGGGGTGAATAGGCGTTTCTAAAATTCAACCCTTTAAAATGCGGAAACGATTAGTGTTGGAGTTTCAAATTACTTGGAAACCCCAAAACAAAGAAATAAACCCCTGACGAGTTAACCAACAGAGTAAGCAAGGTATATAGAATATATCTAGGAGCTACAACCCAGTGAGGGTGTCATCATGCCATAACTTTCAATCTTCAACGAGTGAGGGTGTCATCATGTCAATCTTGATTTTCTCCTTGACCATAGCCATCTTGAGCATGTGACTTGATTTCATTCAATGAGTGTGAGTTAACTTCAAATTTATCAAGTCACTCCTTTATTAATTCATCTAGGATTTGATCCTCCACTTCAATGTGACCTTCATGGTTTGATTAGTATGTAGACTAAATGCAAGTACTTTCTTCTTCACCTTAACTAGGTTCCTCGGACGTTAAGCCGTCGCTTGTCCTTCACCCTTGGTTGGTACCTCGAAGCCTTTCCTTGCTATCTTCACCGTCTCAAGCCATCAAGTTACACTTGGTGTTGAATCATCCATTTAGATTATTTGTATAAATGTCTTTCAATGTAGCAAGCTTTAGTATGTGAGACTATTCTATATGCAATCCCTTATGTCTCATTAATAAGTTCTTCAACGTGCTTGCTTTCATATAAGCCATAGAAATCCCACAATGAGTAAGCCTTGCATGAATTACATTTGCATTGTTGTCTTGTGTTTGAACTAGATTGTTTACAACAACACATCATTTTTGCTTTCATCAATTAACTGTGAGATAACCTATTTCCTGTCCAACACTTAGCAAACGGGTTAGACCTTTAATCACGTTGTCATTTGATCATCCAAAACCCACTAAAGGGCTTGATGCACTTTCAATCTCCCTCTTTTTTGGTGATTGATGACAACTTGATTAAAGTTTACAAAAAGATATTAAACATTAAAGCTTTTGGGTTCAATGATTTATGATAGGCTCCCCCTTAATAAGTGCTTATGAATGGAATTCATAAAACGACCTTAAATATCAATTGCACATATTAAAACACATAGGAGACTCCCTCTAAATCATTGCATCCGTGGGGTGCAAGTGTGTGTGACAAAATAAAACCGTGATGCATATGACAAGATATATCACACAAGAATAAATATAAAAGCATCACACCAAACAAATTCACTCTAAACATGTATAGGCCTTAAGAAAGTAAATGCAACAAATATATATCACACGCATAGCACTCATCATAAATTTTCTCAGGTCCACAAACCACTAAGATAGAATATATTACAAGATAAGGATCATGTCACATGAGTCTCAAAAGATACATCCATTAAGTACAAGTCTCATCTCACACATGATACAAAGATAAAGCTCATATAATCTGTCTCAACTCAAAATGATACAACAATGAAGCTCTCAAGATACATGAAACACATCTGAAGCTTTAATCTGTCTCTCTCTGAAGCTTTAATCAGTCTCTCTCCCCTTTGTCATCTAGCACCACAAAAGGTTTGACATAGATAATCCAAGCACAAAGGGAGCTGCAAGCTATATCTAACATCTGTGATCACTCCTCGTCATCGTCGTCATCCTATCCACCATCATCTCATCCACTGAGCGTGGAGCACTAGGTGGACGAGAAGCACCCGCACCATACGGATCATAGCCACCAGACCCGTAGTAGCTATATCCACTTGTGAGGTCACCCCACCAGTCTGAAAGCATACTCATCTATAGCACTAGGACATGGTTGAGAGTGAGTAGGCACCCGATCTTGTAGCGGTAAGGTGTCGGGGTGCTCCGGTGCCTGCTCCTGTTGCTGCTCATGTCACTGAAGAAACTGAGCAAACTCTCTATCATGTCTGATCTGTCTCTGATCCTCAATCTCGGCCTCACTGGAGGGAGGGTCGTCATCTGAAATGGGAGACCTAGGAGGGTCAAGCTCTAAGTTCTCAAAAATTAGCTTGAGAGTCCTGAAAAGTCCTAATGGCTAAAGGGGGGTGAATATCCTATTAAAAATTTCTACAACAACACTTAACAAACCGGTTAGACAAATATGAGGCGAAATGATTGTTGCGCTAGCTTACTAAAAATGCAAGCCACCTACCACAAGTCTAGTTTATATAGTCTCTATCCACACAATGACTATATCACTACACTAAGTTAGTGTGCTCTCAAAGGCTAACTAAAGATCCACACTAACCAAACTAACAAGCTCTCACAACTAACTACACTAAAGAGCTTAATAACTAGTTTACGGTAATATAAAGAGAGAGAACAAGATAGTTATATCGCCATGTCAAGGAATGAACCAATCAATCATAAGAATGAATACCAATGAAGACCAATCACCTCGGAATCAAATGATGACACAATAATTTTTATCGAGGTTCACTTGCTTGCTGGCAAGCTAGTCCTCGTTGTGGCGATTCACTCACTTGGAGGTTCACGCGCTAATTGGTATCATACGCCAAACCCTCAATAGGGTGCCGCACAACCAACACAAGATGAGGATCACATAAGTCATGAGCAATTTACTAGAGTACCTTTTGGCTCTCCGCCGGGGAAAGGTCAAGAACCCCTCACAATCACCATGATCGGAGCCAGAGACAATCACCAACCTTCGCTCGACGATCCTTGCTGCTCCAAGCCGTCTAGGTGGTGGCAACCACCAAGAGTAACAATCGAATCCCGCAGCAAAACACGAACACCAAGTGCCTCTAGATGCAAACACTCAAGCAATGCACTTGGATTCACTCCCAATCTCACAAAGATGATGAATCAATGATGGAGATGAGTGAGAGGGCTTTGGCTAAGCTCATAAGGTTGCTATATCAATGTAAATGGCCAAAAAGGTGAGCTAGAGCTGGCGATGGGGCTTAAATAGAGAGCCCCCATGAATAGAGCCGTTGGCTCTCTGTATCCTAAAAAGTCAGGGTGACCGGACATGCCGGTCAGATCGACCGAACATAGGACCCCAGCGTCTAGTCACGTGATGCACGCCATGTGGCCCCTGGTTCAAATGCTGATCACCTGATCTCAATGGTCATCAGTGCACTTAAGTTGTGACCAAACGCTCTACAGTGTAGGACCGAACACAAGACCCTAGCGTCCGGTCACTTCCAGTAAGGTTCTAGTCACGACCGGACATGTCCGGTCATGCCCGACCGAACTTGCCCAGCGTCCGATCACTTACCCTCTTCTCTGTGCGCCGCAACATTAGTAGGACTGGACGCTGAATAGTGTTCAGCCAGAGTCCGGTCACCTGCGTCCGTTCATAGGCCGAGAGTACCACTTTCTTTTATAATTGACCGGACGCTGCTCTCCAGAGTCCGGTCAGTCTCTGCTGACTGACCGACGCCTAGGTTTAGCCTCCGGATGCATCCAGTCCCACTAGGATAATGTCTGATGCGCTATGTGAAACCCTATCTTTTCTGTACAGGGCGTCAGTGGCACCATCGGACACTCCACCGATGAAGTTTTGAACCCTTGCTCCCAAGTGCTAAACACAATGTGTATCACCTTTGTGCATGTGTGTTAGCTTATTTTCACAAACATTTTCAAGGGTGTTAGCACTCCACTAGATCCTAAATGCATATGCAATGAGTTAGAGCATCTAGTGGCACTTTGATAACTGTATTTCGATACGAGTTTCACCCCTCTTAATAGTACGGCTATCGAACCTAAATGTGATCACACTCACTAAGTGTCTTGATCACCAAAACAAAATGGCTCCT